ATTGAACGAGATCGATAAGAAACTTGTGAAGATGTCACTAGAGCATCGATTGGACAAAATCGAAATGTAAAAAATAATTCTTCGACTACCTTTCGACTTTCAAAACGAAAAAAAAAAAGAAAACTCGATAATTTTGATTAATTACAAAATATTACAATTGAGAATTATTTTGTAGCTGCTCAGACATTGGCATTGAGAGAATAAAAATTTCAATAAAATTATGAAATCGAACTTTCAGGTGCGTGTTACGCTGAATTTGGTGTTAGAGTACCACATACAACGGGCAGTGCGTATATGTACAGTTACGTGACTGTAGGTGAGTTAATAGCATTCATAATTGGATGGAACATGGTACTTGAGTACCTCATCGGTACCAGTGCGTGTGCCTGCGCCCTTAGCGCTTGTTTGGACGCCCTTGCCGATGGGGCCGTTTCCGGTGCGATAACCAACAGCATTGGAACATTTTTTGGTGAGTCACGGATACCAAAACCATTTCATTATGATATCCTATTCTAAACACTCGACATCAATTATTGCAGTCAATTGTCTAAAATCAACTGTTACGTACTGAGAAAACAAAGTAAAAATTGCCGACTCATGGCCCTGACCGGTCATTTGTCTTTTAAAAAATCAACTCTCAATCGGTTATACACTTGAATCAATCCTGCTCGTACTTTAATCAAGTAGATGAAGGTTTGAGTCATGCTAGGGTTGCAAAAGAACATGAAAATTATATTCAAGTGGGTGCATACGAGTCATTTTGAATTTGAATCACGAAAAAAGAGATTAAATGACGATTAATTGCATCAATACTTGATCGACGCTGTTTTTTCTCGAATCCCGGAAAAAATATCCCAGGGAAAAAATATCCCACACATTCAAAACGTGTTAAAACTCGCTCAATTTAATTATTTTTTAATTTAATTATTTTTTTCGTTGTCTATTTTTTCAGGGGCTCTAATTTTCCTATGGTCTATCAAATTGGGTGGGTTTTAACACGTTTTGGGTGTGTGGGCTATTTTTTCCGGGGATATTTTTTCCGCCTACCTTTTTTCTCAGTGCGAAATTGCGTTGAGAAAAGCAATTTACTTGTCCTAAATCAATTGACTCAGTAAATCTCTCAAGGAAATATATAAATAAATATGGAATACAGTAGAATCCCGTTATAGTCGCACCTTTCCTCAATTTCGTTTTTCGCGCATCTTTCGATTCGCCTACTATTACCTCTGGGCTCAAAAATGTGAACAATCGACTGGTTCGTCCGGTGGGGAATGGAATTCCGTGAAAAATAAAGGTAAAATAGTATATTAGGACATGGAGAGAAATATGTACGAAAAATTACTGGTCTTGTATTAGTAAACGCGAGATATGGCGCTGCCCTGATTCATGAAAAATCACGGAAATTCTCCGGAATATTTACTGCGCAGGGCAACAACCTTTACTGGACTCATTCAATTTTCTCCGAAGTTCATTGGATGTTCTAAAAATGTACTGCTAAAAACCTGAAATATTTGTACTAGTTATTCACTTTTTACTGCGATTCCAGTAAATTTTATTACACTTCCAGTGAATTTTACTGGATTTCCAGTGAATTTTATTGGATTTCCAGTGAATTTTGGTGGACTGGACCGTAATATTTAAGATTAGGTTGAAATACTCCACGCTTACTGCGCAGTCCTGTAATTTTTCAAACGATTCTGGTCCCAATTTTTCATACAAATTTCTCTCCGTGTATACTATTATATCATATTACTGTAATATACTACTATATTAATATATTCTATTAAAAAAATGATTCAAATCACATGTTTGTTAGCCTCGGCTAACATTTCATGTGATTTCAGACATTTCTTACTAGCTGAGGTGTGTATACGATTTTTCTACTCGACGAGCCAGACGACCACAATCTCTCCACCGGGAAGTTGAGCTTTCTCGCCGGAGAGAAAAATATATTTCTTTCGCATCCGAATTTCCCATGAAAAAAATCAGTTTACGGTTGCGGTGAGCGCGTGGTGGGGTTCGTTGCCTATAGTCCGATTCTCGGAATTCCCTTCCCCTACAGCCCCATACACGCGACTATGACGGGAGTCTACTGTGTACATGGGGGGTATTCCGTACCAAATCGATTACTTTTCAACACGATCTCTTTCGATCTGCCCATACGTTTTCCATCCTTTTTTACCCTATGAGAAACGTTTCTCAACATCTTTACAATTTTTTTTTACCTAAAAGAAGTTATGAACTTTTTAAGAAATGGCTTTTTTATTTATTAAAGATTGGGAAATATTTGGCCAAATCGAAAGGGGTCGGGTTCAGAAATGTTCGATTTGGTATGGATATATATTTGTATTTTAAACGTCTCGATTTTTATGAAATTAGTTAATTTTTAATTGGAAAAAGGTATTATTTGGTTCAATTGTACTAGAAATTTTGAGTTACGTTATTTGAACTCATCAATAAAACAAAGTAATATGAAACTGATGGTGATTTTTTTTATTAATTTGTTGACTTCTTCAATAGTCAAGTTAATCTCAATATTCAGCTGCATTTTTAAGTATTGAAAAACTGAAATTCTATAAAATTCATAGTATTTGATGCGGCATTTTTACAATGAGCGCCGAAACTCAGGATTATTGAAAAATCAGTGATATTTCCAAGAGTATACCAGAGTTTTGTTGAACTCTCAGGATAAATGAGAATTTTTATGAAAGGTTTCAAATGAAGTTGAATATAAAGCCAGGTTATTGGAAATTCAGATGACACTGGGACTGAAATTTCTTACAATCTAGCAAACACTGAGAAAAGTAAGCCGGAAACGTATTCAATTGAAGTAGATTTTGTCGACTTCCAGGGGAATTGTAACACTATAAAGAAATGTACATAAACTAACACTTGAATCCATTACGTCTCATATTATCGACCCATTCAGTCTAATTGAATAACAATAATTGACAATGAGAAAAAGTTAACTTCTTTTAGTCAATTTTCATCGGATTATTTAAACTTTTTTTCTCAGTGTATCCTATAATCATTTAAAATCCTTCTCCATCAAATCTTTAAGCTAATAGCATAATAAAAATGGAATAAAAATTTATGATTTTATACTTTTCACTGATGGCATTACCATGGAAATCTTGACTTTGAGAATATATTGCATTGCAAATTTTCTATGAAAATCATCTCGCCCTGTTTTAGTGATTCCTAAAAGAATTGGTACATTTCCCGTAACAATGGAGGCACTGAAGATGCTTTCAAAGAGGGCGAAGGAAAGACTTTTCTACTGGCATATCCACCTCCCCAATTCTCCTCACGTTTTTCTTTTAACAACACATAAGAGAGATTAGTCGAGGCCCCCCCTGCGTTTTCCTTTGTGTCTTGCAGATTCCAACTGGGTTGGTAAACTGAGGTTGTAGATGAGAGAGGAGGGAAGAGAGACTAAAGGCAGAAGACTTTTTCGTGATAGTCATTCGGCCGGACGTATCGATCCCTCAAAGCATCGCTCATTCTCTTCCTTTTACCTTTACTATTTTTTTTTGAAACCCAATTTTTAAAAAAGTATAGAACATCTTAACGATGTTATTGCAATTCTTCATTCAATTTTAATATTAATGAACACCCTCGTGGAAAAAGATATGATGCAAGAATTATCTATGAGATTTTAGTTTTTTTTGTTCCGGAATAATATCTTAAATATATTCAACTTATATTTTGAATATATCCTCAATATCAGGGGGGACATCTGCCCAGATATATCCAGAATATATCTCGGATGATCGATTTTTTGACGAAATGTATGTGACATATATGCGGGTATAATGACGGATATTTCTGAATATATACTTTTTTCATGTGGGCAGTTTGAAATGAAGTTCAAATAATTAAAAATTATTAAAGATTTATACAGCTTTATAAATGTGTCTATAAAAATTGCAAAAGTAAGGAAAAAATGGGTTTTGTAATTAAATTTAATTTATTGCAAGCAATGTCTAATAATGGCGTGTAGACTGCCCATTCTGGAAGTTTTTATGGTTTTTATAAAAAAATGAATTTAAAAGTCGAGGATTTTCTAACGATGTTAACGTAATTCTGCATCG